GTCTAGCAGGCATAGGGCAGCAAACTTCACACGCCCTCATTCCACAACCAACGCAAGGAACAAGAGGGAAACCAGGCTCAGGGATCCTGTTACACTTAGTGCACCTGTCCCGTCCATCATCTCCCCTCAAGGCTTCAGGGAGAAGACCACCATCTCCCTGCCTACCGGCACCATTCACACTATAGCCGAGGCTAAGACCCGGCCCAAGGTTACCACCGCTCGCAACACTTGAGGGGTAACCCGTGGCATTGCTAGACTGACTAACGCCAGCGCCAACCCCTTGGTGACTAACGCCACCTCCGTAGGCAGGACCATAGAAACTGGAACCACACAAATTGTTCCCAATTCCATGAGTATCCGCAGCACTACCATGGAATTCGGGCGCCCCACCAGGGTAACCCCCGGTAGGAGCCCCTCCATTCGGGCCTCCAGAAGGCCCAGCGGGACCTTGGCCTCCACCATAATGCCCAGGACCTGGTGGTGGAGCTGGGGCATGTCCATGACCACCACTTCCGCTCCCACCTTGACCAGGTGGTCCGCCTTGCCCACCACCTCCCCCGGGAGGAGGAGGAGGGGGCGGTCCAGCTTGCGCGCGCTCATGCCGAATATTGCAGCGCGCACATCGCTCAAGGCCGTCACTTCCAAAGTAGCTGTGATTCTCACAGACGTGAGTCCCACAATCCGTGCAGAAATACATGGAGACCTCCTGAGCATTCTTGCGACATGCCCAGCATTTCATTTTCAAGAACTGACAATTGTAACAGTCCCCGTCGTCACCACGGCAAAGCCCGCAGAACTCACGACTGCATGTCACACACGAGAATTCAGCGTTCGGGTGCCTACGGTCGTTGGGATCATCGAGGGCACAAATCTTTGGCGCGTCTGGGCCATCGCCGCCGGGAGCCCCTCTTGCAGCCGGCGCTGAGGCCTGTCCACGATCCGACGGATCTCCAGCGGTCCCTCGCCTATCGCCGGGACTCTGGGTGTCGGCGCTGGCTCTACTCCCAGGAGTCCTCCACTCATCACCAGGACTCTGGATGTCGGCATGAACCCTATTTCCCCCACCACCTCCTGAATGACGACCTGGGTTCGGAGAGATGTTCCCGCTATCGCGGATTGGCCTATCAAAACTCGGAGAGACGCTCCCGCTATCGCGGATCGGCCTTTCCCCCCTCGATTGTCGACTCCGGACCTCAGATCCCCTATCGGGGACGGCAGCAGGCCTCGGGCTCCTATTCCTACCCGCATCCCTATTGGGGGAAATAGAGACGTCCCCCCTTGCGCGCGCGCGGGGACCACCCCTTGCACGCTCCGGTGGCGAATGCGACCTGTCAGGCAACCCCCGAACCCTCCTGCTCCTGCTGTCGGACCTCTCCCTAACGGGATAGATGGGATGCCTGTCTGCGCGAGAAGGATCGACTCTATCGGGCACATTCGGCAAAACGTGATCAGGCAAGACAACGCCTCCGCCTGGTCTCACCGGCAGGCCAGTACCCCGGCCGTCACCTTCCCCTGGTGTAGGCGTCGGTGACCTGATCCTATGTCCTTGCCCCGCAAATGCATGGTAACCAACATTCCGTCTTTCTCTGGGTTGTGGAGGAGCTTCATTAATCTGCTGGACACCCTGGATAATGCCAGCAGCCTCGTCAAATTGACCCTCCATCTCAAAGAGCTGGGACATGATTCTGTTGTTCGCGGCGCTAAGGTTACGTACGTTACCATCGATAGCGCTGACTCTCCGCATAACACCTTCAAGTGTACTCCGGAATGTGCCGAGCTCTCGCCTAACGGCAGGCTGCACTTGGTCACTGCTGGCAGGAAGATTACGGATCTGTCCTTGGATGCCATCAACGACCCGATTCACAATTGCCGATCTCGCTTCATACTGTTCAACATGTGACTTCACGGTCTCAAACCTTGAAACGATGTCGTCATGATCCCGACGTTGACGTTGAATTCCTCGAGCCAGATCCTGCATCTTCCGATTGATCTCGTCAATAGCCTCATGCCAGTCCTGCGGGGAATCACGTTCTGATGGTCTATCGACCTCCTGAGAACCCCTTCCACTCTGCAGTCTCGACACTCGATTAACAAGACGAGTGTGCTCTTCTTTGATCCCTTCAATAGATTCAGAGGCCCACTTGGCAAATGTCTCGTGTTCAAGGAGAGCTTTCTCGATCTTCAGGTTTAACTCCCTGAAATTTGCATCCACTACACTGCCGCTGGCCCTATCGGACGGATGCGCGACAGGATTCGGGTTCCATACACCTGCTGGTGTCCGCATCCCAACGGTTTTCTCTACCGAGAACATCCGTTTCTCAAGCTTGTCCAAATCCTTAAGGATCTCGTCCTCAGAAGCAGCATGGCTTCTGCGGGCAGCCTCACTATTCTCCTGAATCATCAGGCGAAGCCGATCAGTCGATGCCTCATTGTCCTTGACAGATTCATGGACCTCGTGGGACAGTAGGTTAATCCTCTGCTCCACGACCTCGGCTTGCTCATCAATGGCTTGCCTCACGATGGCCTTGCTATCGGGAATAACTTCCCTTGCGAACCGTTGAACTATCATTCGCATCCTCCCGGCATCAGATTGAGTCGCAACCTCAGCTGCCAGTCGATCGACCTTGTCCTTCGTCTGTTGATTCTCGTCGCTCCATTCCCTTCTCATGGAACTCACTTGACCGTTCAGTAACCTGATCTGGTCAGCAAAAATATGGAACGCTTTCGCGACTGAGCCAGAGACCTCACCTCTCTCGAGCATCTCCTGGATGTGCAAATCGAACACCTCCTTTGCCCTAGCGTCACCTGATTCACCGGAAGAATGAGACCTGAGTGCTGGGGGAGTCGATATCTCGATCCTCTCAGGAGCCCCACTAGCTCTAGCATATCTTCTGGGGTCATCCACAGGACTATCACCAGCCCCAGATGGCCTGCTAGGGGTAGAACCCCTTCTACGGCTATCGCCGGAACGGGGATCAACATGGGACGCACGAGACTCGGGAGTAGAGTGGATGTGAACATCAGCAGGATCAGGCATCTCCTCATCCTGCGGAGTTGAGTCCATTGGTGAGGGGCTAGCCCTCCTCGCCTTCGACCTATCGGTCTCAATGGCCAGGGGTGACGGTCTCTTCGCAGAAGCACTACGTTCCCTGGCGGTCGAGCCCCATTGAGGTGTGAACTCGTTGCTGGACCTTAGCGTTTCAAGGCCACTGGTATCTCGCCCTAACGGGCTAGCGATCGACGGACGATCCTCGATTCCGAGTGCATCGGCAAGCCGGCCATCTCTTGCACCTCTCCCAACGACATCGGCAACCCGCTCAGTGACTCTCGGCGAACCAGTAACCCGGTTCGAGTTCACGTCTCTCTGATCTAACGGACCCCCAAACGTAATGTTGGGAAAAGGGGGAACATTCGGGGTATCACCAATCGCCGGGGGACCTACCGGTCCCTCACGGTCATGGATGGCCTCCAATCCCCGAAGAACTTCCCGACTGTCCCTGGCTCTCTCTCTCTAGCTTCGGGCATCCCTGTCAACGCGAAGGTCCCTGGCGGCTCCACGAGAGAGGCTCCTGGGCCTCGCAGCATCACGGATCCTAGCATTTCGTCGTGGTTGGTCCTCCTCCTCATCACGGCGATCCGCAAATGCGGCATACTCGTCATCATCATCGACCTCAAACTTGGCAGCGGCGGGACTAGTCCTTGCAGTCGCACGGCTGCCTGCATTTCGGCGCGAATGGCTCTCCTCCTCATCCGCAAAATTGTAACCTTCGCCATCATAAGACTCAGATTTGGCAGTATTAGGGTTGGGCCTACCGGCATCAGATCCCTGCTTTGAGCTACTGCCCCAACCTGCGGTTGATTTCAACAGATCATCGTATCCGAAGTCCGTGAATTTCCGCTCCTCGTGCTCATCAAACTGACCTGGATTCTGAGAACCAGTGGATCGGCCCGGGATGCCTCCCGGAGCCAGAACCATAGTCCCTGGTCCCTGCGGCCTATTCTCAAACTCATCCGAGACCTGCGACTCACCTGGAACAAGAGATCTCGGAGGTCGAACCGGCATGGCCTCCGGGCGGGCCATGTCCATCGCCATGCTGATGAAGTCAAAATGTCCACGCCTGTGACCTGATTCAGAGCCACTCCTATCGGAGTAAACCCTTCGTGTCTGCTCGTCATCAGTGGCCTGGCGGAAAATACGATCGTCTCCATCGTCGGCGTACCTGCCACGGCCCCTGGGTGTATCCCTACCGGGATCTTCACCCCTGCGGTCCTGACCTGTCGAACCTGCTTCGAAATCCTCGTAGTCATAGTCCGGTAGGTCCTCACCTGAGCGGAGGCCACCTAGGATGGCCTCCTCATCCACGACGCTCCTTCGAGATCGTGGGGTCGACATAGAGCTTGTAGTTGATGGTCTCAAGCGCGTAGGAAAGTCCTACGGCTGATAACCTGTGATTCGGGCACGAGCCTGTGCCCAGGCAATGGGTTAGTTGGGGTAAACAAGCCACAAAAGAACGGTTCCCCAAAAGCAAACCAATCCCCGGTCCCAAAGATCAGGGTTTCCCACACACCAGAGAACAACAACCAAAAGGAAACAAACCAAACAAGAAAAGGGTTAACCCGCAACCTTGGTCGACAACAGGCCGCACGACTGGTCCTACCAACCTGGCGGCGGCCCGAGGTCTCTTTCTCTCCGGATGCGTCGGTTATCGACGCAGGGGTTCGGCGACGCCCATTCGAGGCGCGACGGAACCCAAAATCTTGAGCCAAAACACCACAGGTCGGTCACTAACGCGACGTCCCTGATGATGATATGAACCATGGCTAATCACATATCATAAAACAAACAACAACGGTGCCATTCAGGATAGATCCCCAGGGTTGTACCCATATTCACCGAGCAACCTGCTTGTTGGCTCTGCTGTAATTTTGCTGTTTGGTTTTGCTTTTTTTTGGGGGGGTGGGGTAAAGTTTGTTTATTGGTTGCATTGTTTTGCCAGCGCCTTTGCAGTCACAGAAGACCTCCAGCTCTCCTTGCTCATGGCAAATGCGGCAGGCTGCATCCTAGCGCAGCGGCAACAAGTCGGGCCGCTGTCTGTCAAGTGGACGACGCGTTTGGCGTACGAGGCAACCAAAAAAGGTAACTGGAGTCTCCATGACCCTTGAAAAATGGGGTCATTACCCAAAATAATGGGGTCATGGACCCATTTTTACAGGGTCATGTAGACTCCAGGTATACCCAAAATGGGTTGCCTGGTAAATGGAAACATGGACTAAAACCTGCGTTTTGTTTTGTGCTTTCATTTCCGTATAGTCAGCAGGGACGAGTGAACCCATGGCCACCCTGAAAAAACGAGAGTGGGACAACTACTGACCTGGATCATGGATGCTTCGTTTGCCGGAGTTTGGCTTCGGAAAGAACCATCGAGACCTCCAGTGGCTCCTAAATAAATCTTTTGGCGCTTGGTTTCAAAGCTTTCCCCCCAACACAGAGCTGTTGCAGGAATTTCCAAGGTCTGGGTACGAGGTTTTCGAACCACCGGGCAGCCCTGCGAACCCCGGCACGTTTCGAAGCAAAAAACTGCCTCCTCAGCTCGCGGCTTGCTCCGTGCGCTCAAGGGCGCCAAGAGCAAGCACCTCAGAAAGCGAACAGCAAGCGCCCTGCGACCAAAGACTCCGAGTCCCCACTAAACAATAGAAAGGTGTCTAGGCCTCCGTTGCTTAAGATAGGGATCCTAACGGGGACAGCGGTGAACCTTTGGGGTCCATGGCTTCAAAGAAGAAACCATCATGCAAACCAAGAAACAATGACACAACACTTGCATTGAGAGCAAGGCAAGCCTTTTTTGCGGAATTCTCAAGACCTGTTTGGGCACCTGTTCTGTCACCGGGTCACAAAACGCCGTTTCTCTCGTTCGCGTTCCAAGGGGCATGACTCGCAGCAAACTGGGCTGATCGACGGATCGATCCCGCCTGGTGGTTGAAAGGGAAACTGCCGTCTTTCTGGTTCATGTTGACCCTGGAGTAATAAACCCCTGTTTCTGAATATGGGGGTGCTCCCCTCCAACAGCGCCCAATCCCCACTAAAACCAGAGACACCCCCCATATGAATCCACAGGGGTTAAGCAATCCGGGGTCAACATTACCTCTAACATCCAACGCCTCTACAAATAAGATCTCTTTTGATTTAGCTTAAGCTATCCTTTTAACATGCGGATCGATGTTGAATGCATGTTAAGTCTCTGCAGGCGTTGGATGTTAGAGGCAGCGCAATCAATCAACCCAGTGGCTTTGGGCAGGGCGAAGAAGGTCCAGTCTGGCAAGGCGCTGCTTCGTGATGCCAACTGCCAAACCGGTCGACGCTAGCAGGGCCGCCAGGATGGTGTACACCAGCACGATGAATTCCTCCCGTGAAAACTGGGAATGCGGAGCCGAACAACCGGACGAGCAAGTCATTCGTTTTCGTACTTCCATTGGCTTAAGTCCACTGAAAAAACAACAACAACACACACTTCCAGTGCAAAAAACAACAATCCAGCAGTGATAGATTCCCTTTTTAAACCAAGGGCAATGGCACTTGCCCCAAACCTCCCTTGCCGAAGCTTAAAAGGTCCACTGACCTCGAATGGCGCTTCTCCCGTTGAGGATGCTGGAGGGACCAGCCTGACACGATGAGTTTGGGTCTCAACAGCTTTTGCTCTGGTGACTCTCCTAAATGGTTGGTGGTTGGACCAGAGTGCGCAACAAATACACCAACAGTCTCTGCAATACCGAAATGGGATTCCAATCTCTACGACTCTCTTCAAAAGGGATTCTTCTGGCATCACGGAAGGCGGAAACCTAATCCTCCTTTCTTGTCCGTAATGCTCCTGCTTCCACTATACAAACACACATTGAACATTGGGCCCTGTCCTCACCCATTGCCCGTTGTTGAGAGGCGGCAGGGGCCGCCAATGGACTACCCTCCCTCCAGCAAACATGGCTTGGTGCACAGGCCAATTCTGGAGGGTTCCCATATACCAAACCATGCTGGGAGGGGAATGATTGAACGTCTGTCTAAAACTCCTTTCAAACCGGGGAGGTAAAATGGAACACTAGCAATGCACCTTGGATTGACATAGTGTGACAATGGTCGTACCGTATCACAAACGGTGGCTTTGGTTGAACATCCAAGTACAGTGTTCCGAGGGTCAGCTCAGCTTTGGCGCATCGCCCAATTGGAAATAAGCGCCAAATCTATTGAAAAGAGACGGGAGTGAGTGTATTTCCGAGCTGGGTGACCCGTACCTTCCCGTTCGACTTCTGTTCAAAACCAGCCCAACAGGGGACCCTCAAAAGACAACATACCTATCACACCATGACATGCCCTTTTCCCGACAATCGTGGAAGTCGAACAAGGGGGTCCTTGTAAGAGGGTAGTAGTGACTAGTCGTAGAAACCCCTCCTGTCCGCTTCTATTGTTGGAATAAGCTATCCACACACAAACCCTGTGCCGCGTGGAGCCCGTCCTTGCGATCGGGCTCGGGCCCCTCACTTTCCATCGCCGAATCGAATCGGAGGAATGGCTCCTATGCCCTTTCTTATGAAAATCAAGGGGTCCAGGTATCCTTTCATGATGAGCTTTTCAGGATGAAAAGGGGTCAACTCCTTAGATGGCGGCCCATAGAAAAGGGACCTCGTTTTGGGATAGATTCTATGTTTACAGGGGAACACACCAAACTGAGAAGAAACTAGAGGCTGGGATTTTGTCTAATGCAGCGCGGTGTTCTGAAAGTGAAGAGTGTTGTGTTTCGTTTCACACAAAGTTGAGGTTCTTCCATCACCCATGTTAGTGCTGCTGTGGATGGACGAAATCTCTTTGCACCACTTTGAAACCACGGTTGACACCACTGTGTTGGTATTTACAGGGGAATCGAATCCTTCAAGAGTTTTTGAACAGTGGGGAAATGGAGTTCGTCCATCCACAGTGGGGAATTTATGTTCTGCCTTGCGCAAAACGCGACTCTAACATGTAACTCAAAACAGAGCAAATTGTTGGTCCTCAAGTGCCTACCGCATTGCTGGACACTTGGGCAGCATTCATACCTGCCCACACTTGGGCGGTTGCTGCTACCAAGACAGTGATGAAGGTTTACATAGGCCTCACTATCTCCATGAGGCCAAGTACGGAAACAATTGTCTATGGCGAAGGAAAGGTAAAACCGAGTTAATGTGATGCAACCTGACCGTAACTTGGAGACATTTCGATACGGGCGCAGCTCGAGCCGCAACGCAGCGAGACGTGCACGGCGTGACTCAGACATTGCCCTTCTCAGGGTGCAAAGACAATCCACCTTTTGCTTGATTGACAAGAAACCTATGCCGTTTTTGAACCCGTACGACGGTGAACAAGACACAACCGAAGAACCCGCTTTTCCAGGCAATGATCCACGTTGAGGGATCCAGCCTTGCAGGTGCGACGCAAACTTCAGGACCCCAAGAATAGTCGGCTTGTTTGAGCCAGCTGAGGGCTCACTCATGGGATGGACCAAGACTGGGTCCTCCAGTAGTTTGAGGCTAGAATGGTACCAACTCTTTTCTGTCTATCTTAGTAGGGGAACCGAATCTCCCAACCAAAAAAGAAACCGGTGAGGAAGGCAATTGCTGGGGGACCTAGAAGATGGAGCCCGGTGGCTGGAGTCTAAGTCCTTAGGCTCGTGCCGAAAAACAAATCGGTCGTACCAAAGGAGTCTTCGGGGCGAGAGCGCTAACCAAAAGACCTCAAAAACAGGACCCCCCACACCCAAAAATATGGGTGCGTCTTTTTCGGGGGACCCCAGAAATGGTGGTTTTCAAGTTGGTTTCCATTTAAAACCACAAACACAGCAAGGCACCCTCAAAAAAGAGGATGCTGTCTTGTCTCACTCATTCCATTCGGGATTCCCGGGCTTTCGTTTTGACGGGAGACCACGGGGTGCTTCTTCGTGGGATTGTTGCCTGAGGCCTGAAACACTGCCGAACCAATCCCGACTGTGGAAAAGCTCATACCCAGAGGCTCCTGGGCTTTCAATGGAAGACCCGACCCCTGCATTAGACACCCCGGAGGTGTTTGGGGGTCTCAAAACCCGGCTGTTTGAGGGCCTGGGTAAACAATCTGCACGTCTCCTGAGAATATCCGTGCGCTTCGCTGGGCAACTTCTGATTGGCATGCTTGCTGCTTAGTTCGAAGTCCAAAACGTGAATATGGGGGCCACCCCCCCACTCCACCCCACCCCGCCCCGCCCCGCCCCGCCCCGCCCCGCCCCACCCCGCCCCACCCCAAACGAGACGACCCCCATCCGCATCACCCATCCGATCCACCCACGTCCTCCTGCACCCAGCTGAGTGCAGCCTTGCGCTGCTCCTCCAGCAGCCGCCAGAGCCGCGCGAAGGTGAACCTGCCAAAAAACTGCCAGGAGGGACCCGTCCCTCAAAACCCGAAACCCAGAAAATTCTCGGCTCCCATTTTGGATGCTACCCATTTAGGGACGGACCTCACCCAAAAACCCGGAGCCCCGTCTCGTGGGCGGCTCTAACCATTTTGGAGTTTGGCCTAAGTGAAGCCAGCGGCGTTTCAGGTGAATTGCGAGTGCTTTTTTGTGCGTGGTCTAGAGGCAACCAGGGGTCTTCTGTAAGTTGGTACCTTTTTTGGGCTTGGCCTAAAGGGAAATTGAAAGTGAAGGGACGCCATTTGCAACACCCAGGGTCTGTCTTTTTCGGAGGTACCAGTTTTAGCCGTGTTCCAACGAGACACGCTCATTTTTTTGGCGGCTTTAAAAGGACTCCCAAACCAAAACCAACACCCATTTTGTGGGCAAATGCACCACCAGGTGGTCACCACCATTCCACCCATTGGCTTGGGGAAACCCGCTTAGCCCAGCCACCGAGGGGAAATCTCCATCCCAGTGTGTTGACTTCAGGACGGCAGTCCAAATGTAAATTGCCTCGGCTGGGTGGCCGACCACTTCGAACCATTTGCCTCCTTCCCACATGGCAACTGACAGACATGGGCCCGGTCCCTTCAAAAGGAAACTC